ATATATGGAAACGACTGATATAGTAGAAATACTATGGCTAAAAAAGTCGAAACAAAAATCCAAGAATAATGAAAATCTGAAAAGGACCCTATTACCGTGTGCTATGGATGAAAAGCCCAAAAGGGGCGTTCAAAGCTTAGAACTGCCAAGGAAAGACCACAATCAATTCAAGGGTCACAAACCTCCCAGAATTCTCACACATTCTAGGGAAGACCAAGAATTCAGGAACGACATTCCTTGGCCTCTAAGACAATAAGTCAAAGAGAAACCAAAGAATATTTATTGATGTGCAAGATAAGGGGCAGATGCTCGAGGCGAAAAATACTTGAGATTTCCAAGTCCTTTTAGTCTAAGACGGAGCCATTCAAGCTCCAATCAGGCTTCCTAAAAATTAATTTTCCCTTTTCAAAAACTAATCTTGTTTGGAAAATGAATAATTTAATTCATAAGAATTCACTCTTGGGGCAAAAGTTCATTTTCAAAACTAAGGTATTAAAACTAGTGTCTGGATCTAATTAAACCCATAAAAATATACTTAATTTCATTAACACCAAGGGGCCAAAGGTGCCTAAACTATAAGGCCCACTCCCGTTTTTTATGATTTCATGAAAACTTTCATTCACTTCAAATCACTTTCGAGAATCTTTTCAAAATAAGATCTATAGTACATGGTTGCATGACTTTAAACTGCTAACCACCATTTGATGGAAACGCTATTTTTTTTGCCTATGACAAGTCTAACCAGTGCAAAAACAGGTCTCTCTCTCATCCATGTTTGAGGCAATCAAGGGACAACTCATTTTCTATCTCATGTGTTTTCAACGTGTACAAAATATGGCGTCTACTAGTCAAAAACAAGAAAGGATTCACACCTGTGGGTGTGTGCGCATGATTGGTGTCCATTAATCCATCTACATGCAATCGATGGGAATACCATAAGATTAGCAAAAAGGGGATAAAGATCAACCATGATAAAGCCAAAAAGTATGGTGGCTAAGCAAAATTATTACAAACCCAACAAGTCAACCATGACGGGGCACATATGCCCTCAAACAACAAATTTTCATAAAAAGGTTTGAAGTCGAGGAAGGCTACTGCCCACTTGGGGAAGGATTCGCAGAAGAGGCTTCCTGGTCGCCACCAATCTAGTAAGACCCAACACCCGCTGAAGAAGAGCTATGGCCGCCCTACCCATGAGATCTTCGACTTCCTGACCTAGCCACAAATTGACCAAAAGTCCCCTCCTGAGGAGGAGGTGGAACCCTGCGCTCTCTAGCTAATCACCTCATGGGCAGTAGGTCACCACCCTTCCCAATATATGCAGCCTCCAGAATCCTCACCATATCCTCCTTGTCCTCAAAGTCCACCGTTGCATGATCCTACAAAAAGAGGAAGGCTAGAGTAAAAAAAAAAGTAGAGTAAAAGGTAGGGAAAATAACAGAAACTGAAGAAATAAAGCCAATGATACATACCCTCTCAGCATGAAGAAACGTGACTTGAGCCCGAAGGCGCTCTATATCCCAAACAATAGTCCCCAAAGGATCTAATTGCATAGAGGGAGGAGCATTAGTGGAAGGGATATCTGATGAAGATGGGGCCAAGTGTGGCAAACCGTCTCTCTCTTGCTCCAATGGGGCGCCAATCGGGGAAGCTTCGTGAAATTGGTGATGCAACTTATTAAAGTGAGTCTAAAGAGAAAAGCTGCTCCACTTTCTGACACCTCTTCTCTCATCTGCCCCAGATCTATGAAATCACGAGCGAATCAACGGAACCACGGGGAACAGAAGACAAAAGATCGAACAGACCGATAATACTTCTGACAATATGCCTCGAATACCACAGAAGTTACCATCTCAGGAACAGCCTCCTGGGGGTCATGACGGTTTCCCAATTGCGCAATGAAGGATCCAAGACAATTCGGTATCTCCGAATATCACTGATCTTAGGGAAAGTAAAGACGGGAGTCTGCAGTAAACCTAGTTGAGGATGACCACAGTTCCTAAAACTCGACCATGGTGGTCAGCTTCTATATACCCACGTAAATAAGAAGGGATGTCATGGGAAACACACCTGAGAAATCTCGAACTAGGTTAGGGCTCTCAACGTTTGCATAAGGGTACCAGTCAATCTAAAGATAAGGAAATTTGTAAATACGCAAGCAAAGGGGTCAAGAAAAGAATTCATGCACAAAGGGGACAATATTCGATAACTCTTGCTCTTTCAACAAGTTAAAAATTAGGGTATAATGAGAGACTGAGAAGCATTGGACCTTCTCAAGCCATCCTTCGCCCATCGCTGGCTAATGGGAAAATACTCGGCCTCCCTTGAAGGAACGGGACAAGTGACAACAATATGTTCCCATGCCCAGAGATGTATAAAGATGAAAAGGATAAGACATTAACTGCCATAAAATTTGAAAATACACATACGGGAAGCATCTTACCTAAAGAAAAGCTGTGAAGACACCACTCTACAGAAGCCTTTCGCGCACCATTGAGAAGAAAAACTAGGATAGCTGGCCCTCAAGCCACTATACAAAGGTAGATGATTTCCTTAACAACCCATAAACATTGACACGGGGTGATCTCTTGGAAGTATCAGGAAAAAGAAGGTTCCCCCAAGAGATACGCCAGGAAGCCCCTAAGGGTACACTCATCCTCAAGAGATGAAACCCAATCATCAGGAGGGGAATGAGGGGCTAAATATATCAGCTACTGGGAAGTCCTTATTGGCCATAGGGGGAGGAACCTCAAGATAAATCGCGGCTAGGCGAGTGACATCCTCTACTATATCCGCGACAAGAATTTCGCTACGAGCTCATTCACCTCTCGATGCACTTTCTCTACCCGTCTCCCTGGTTCTCTTATGACTGGTGCATGATCTCTCTGCACCATCACCTTGAGGGGCAGAGGGGTGAGCAGCCAAATCCTCATCATCCGGATCAGAGGCGTCCTCACCCACACCAGGGACATCCACTTCCTCCACTCGAATGTTCCCCTCTTCCAGTATCTCCACCCCATCCCCGGTCGGCGTCGTTCGGCTCGAGGAAGGAAGTTTTCTTGCTCAGAAGCATAAGGTGCTCCTCGAATGAGCATATTGCTCCTCTCGGGTCAGCACAATCCCTCCCACGGCTGTTAAAAACCAAGAGCTGGGTATCCTGCCACTCTTACGCCGCTGATTTTCAAGAGGAGCCTACCCCAACAATTACTCTACCTTATCTCAAATGCTCTCACCCACAGATGGGGGATCACATAGGAGGGGATCCTCATCATTGCTCACCCCCATTGTGGTAAGATCCACCAGGGTAATACCTAATTCCCCACAAGGGAGAGGGAAGGTCCTAGTTTCGAGGCATAATCGGTGGACTAAAGCACTAATCATAGGAATACGTAGGGGAAACGGCCTTATCCTGCAAATTTCCCATAGCAGGACCTTCATAACCTCTTGAATTAGGCGGGGAGGGAGCCGCTCGGTCCATATCATGTGGCCATATAGATGACCGAGTTTTCAAGGACACGGGCTAAGGGACGAAATAAATGCCAAATCATCAAAAATTGAGTAAACCTTCTTTTATTGCCGGCATTTTTCACTCAAGTTAAAAGGAAGAACACACAACCAAACAACTCTCCCTATTCTAGGGTCCTGACCTTAGAACATGGAAGAAAAAAAAGCAAAAAAAAAAGAGGGAACCAAAAGGAAACATGCATATCAAAGATGAATCCATCCCTAACAAACTCAATGGATAGGGAAGCAAGACCTCAAAAGGGTCTCACCTCGGGATACCTTGGGCCAAAATAGTCTCCGCCCAAGGCTCAATGAATCAAAAAATTAGAGGCCCGAATCACCCCAGGTCGGAATCCTGACGAATGTGACCTTAACAGAAGTATGGCGGTGGCACCAGACCCCGAGCACTGCATTATCAGATTGTTGGCGCTATTGTGAATGGTGTCAAACTAAGCAGGGCGCCATTCACAATGTCGTCAGGGGCAATTGGGCCATCAGAACACTGGATCACAAAGAACGAGATCAAAAGGTCCTCTGAACGACTAAATCACTCGATGAGGTCGACATATTCAAGCCAACAAAACCACAAAGGGGAATATCCATCGGAAGTTGGAAAACAAAACATCCCGATTGGGTCTACTCAAAACTTTTGAACCTACGACTTTTAAGGAAGAAAAATGAAAAAGGGAGGATATTGCATACCTTATCTTCTCGCAATCTCACCCCGGTATGCTTCCCCTCGAAGCACCATTGGTTAAAATCAGTCGTCACTCGCCCCTCCTTCTACAAAAGAAGTACACTCCGGCAGAAAAGGGGATGATTCAAAGTTATGCTTCGGCAAGACAAAAGAAGGGAAATGAGGAAAATGTTTAGAAAGAGGGAAATCGAATAACTTAGAGATATATTTTAAAGAAAAAGCAGCAAAGAAAACTGCCGAAAGTCCAATCGTTGGGTGAGTGGACGTAACTCAGGACAAGCACGGGGGACTATGGTGACCTTTCGAGTAACCAAGCATCGGCGCCATTCGAAATGACATCAGTGCCAATTCCATTAGCGTCAGGATTCTGGGATCCTTAGCCAAGATTTTGGGGAGTCCCTGGTCATGAACAAGTTGGTACCATCCAGAACATCAGCGCCACTCTAAGGCAATCAAAGGCCTTATGCTTTTAGAAAGCTCATTAATGTCCGTATTTTCATGAAACAAAGGAAATCTAACAAATGCACATCATGGAAAAGAAAAAGGGGAACATGGCATTTCAGCCTTTCATTAAAGCAAAAAGCATCAGAATGCATATTACAAAGCAGAAATACAAAAGAGAGCACGAAGGACTGAAATACAAGGCCCAAATAAGTCATTCAACAGAAGAGGAAGGGGCACCACCATGGCGCTCCAACCAAACCCTAGCACGGGCTTACATCTTGAGCCTCTTCAACCGAAGAGGGCTTGGGATTGGAGGGAACGAGGCCACGGTAGTAGGGCAGCCTCCGCACAATGGCATTATCCTTCCAATAGAAAGGGTAGGAAAGGGGCAAGAGTCGTCTTCTCCCACCAAGTCTCATAAACAACAGAGCATCGTGGGCCAACTATTTTCATCAAATACTCCTTCCAAGAACTGGAAAGGTACTTCAAGCTCAGGATAGTCGATGGTTGAAGGTGCTAGAAATATAAAAGAATCCTTGATTGAACCGGGCATGTTTAAATACTCGATGAGGGTAATACTCCTCACAAAAACATGGGCCAGCCAAGGTCACACAAATGTGACCAATCGATGGGCGTATCATAATCAAATCTTCCAATCCTTTCAAATACCAATCAACCTCAGTTAGGCCATCTAGGATGCCTCGATATTTATCCAATGGCAATGGTTTGGCATCATCATTTCTATATGCCAAACCCCTTGCCCCAACTTAAGTAATGCGAGCCCGTAAAGGGAGCACCACGGCTATATTCTTGTATGCCCACACCTGATCAAAACCAAAAGTAAAAATCCTGAATATGAAGGAAAAAGGAAGGTTAAACAAGGTCTATACCTGCATGAATAACACTCCTCCTTCAACGTATCGACTCCTTTGAGTAACTCGGTCATAAAGCCCCTGAAAAATACCGGTCAAAACTATCGACACAATGGAGATTTCACGACTTTCTCAAAAGGAAGTTATAAGGGGGAGTAATGCGTAGGAGATAGTCTTTCGGCCAGAAAGAAATAAAACTAGACCAAAAAGGAAAAAATAGAGATTCTGAAGCTTAAGCTCAGTTTGCGAGCAAACTAAGGCCTCAAGATCGATCCATTCGACCCTCGATGGGAATCAAATGTTAAAAAATCGGTGCCCCATGGGGGCATGATCGTTATTTCCAATCGAAGGATTGTAGACATTTTCAGGCAAGCGGAGGCCAGAAATCCTAGACAATTCCTCCAGGGTTAAGGTGATTTCTCTCGTGGGAAGGAAGAAAGTATTGGTGAGTGGGTTGAACCGCTCAACCAGTGCTTCTTACAAGTTGATATTCGCATGAGATGAGTGTTGTAGGATATTTTTTAACACTTATATCCTCGGTGAAAATAAGGAGGAAGCTAGTTGCATCCTAGGCCTACAGGTACCAAAGAACCTATGGACTACAGATGCATTTATAGAATAAGCCCTGATCTTGAGTGAATTTTGAAAGGTGTCGGATTGGTCCCAAAAGGCATGTGGAAGTGGAGTTTGACTGCTTAAGAGCACCCACCAATTTCCATCTTGATCTGACGAAGTTAAAGCAGATCAGATAGAAAATTAGTTTTCAAATTCAGCTCCAAACATGCTAAAAAAAGTGCCTCACAACGACATCCCTATTATTGGGGTCTTATATGAGTACCAGACTTCTTCCATTGGATTCATAAGGTCCAAAAACACCTATATATCAAATTTTAGCTCATTCAGGCACTTCTAGACTATTCGAGGGCCAATTTACCCCAAAAGGGTTGGCTTTACACTATTCTTGTACACCCGGTGAACCAGTTTCCATTTCTGGAAACTGTGCCTTATGAACTCAGGATGATCTTTGAAAGGACGTAACCTCTCCATTTTAGGCCCTATCAAACACAAAATTCGGGGGGTTCTTCATCTCATCAACACACACCTTTTGATGTATGGCACGTCCCGAGACAAAAGAAATTCTAGAGTAAAGTTAAGTAAAAAAATCATGTGTTGCATATTTTTGCAAGGTAAAGACCATTTCGATCAAGTGGTCGTATCATGAAGCCCCGATCTCAAATCGTCTTGAAAACGGATATGTCGCGATCGTGACATTGTCGATTTGAGGTGAACATTACATGTGATGAAAGACCAAAGATGCTGCATTTCGACGTTGCAACAAGGGACATTTTTTGGTGACCGCAATCCCATATTCCAGCAACTTCTCCAATTCGGAAAGTAATGATCCGGCAACCAAATCGAGCCATTTTTATCACAAAATGATCATTACGACTTCCCCATCATTCTATGATGAAAAGATCGACCCATTACATCAAAAAATGGATGACGTCAAACATTCAAGATTGCCAGTTTCTCATCTTTCACTGAATTTCAAGAAGGGTTCGAAACCTCGATTCAAGGATCAAATTATATATCAAAATGATCGTCTGTCAAGTCCATCACTTTTACGATGTTATTTTCGTCGAAAGGTTGCCAAAGAACCCAAAATAGGCCTCGAATTACCCCAAAAATGGGATTCAATTTTAATTCACAAAATTGTAATTTTTGACAATTTAGCTTTCTTTTAGTCATCCACCCTTGTTTCAAAGGGATGTTATATAAGCACCTTATGCTGATTTGCAACCCTAAGCTTGAAAAGTTGGACTTAAGTTCAAAGTATTGGTAAAAAGTTAATGAAATACATTGAGCTTATCCTTAGTTTGTGATTTTTACTCTATCTTCTTCACCCCCAAAAAGAGGAGAGAGAAAATTTTCACTTATTGAGGACTCCCCCTAGAATCTCCCACTTCCAACCTAGAACTTTCCACTTCCAATTTAGAACTTCTCACTTCCAACTCCCTCGATCCCTATTCCCATACACCCTATCACAACTCTCATAGTTCCTACCTTATACACCTTAGGCCTATTTTCTACAGTCTTTACTTCATAAGCCTTAACCCTACGCCCTCACTTCATCATCAAAACACCCAACCCACCTTCAAGGATACACTAAGAAGGCTAGGACCAACCCAGCCCTCGGCCCGGACTCAATGGCCACACTATGCAACCACCCTTACTCTCTTTCTCTCTCTCTTGGTCTCAAACCAGGGGCTAAGCCCCTGGTGCCCACTCTTCCTATCTCTCTCTTTCTCTTTCTCTTTCTCTTCTTCTCCCTCTCTCGGTTTGTCTCTCCCTCTTCTTTCTCTCTCTTTCTTTTTTCTCTCTTTCTCTCTCATGCTCAGACTTAAGGTGGGTCCGAGCACCCCTCCCCTTCTTTCCCTCTCTCTCTTTCCTCACTTAAGCCCCCTCTCTTGTCTAAAGTCACGATGCGGGCCTAGTTTCCCTCTTTCTTCCTTTCTCTCGCCTTTCTCCCCCCCTTAGTTTCTCTCTCTCTCTAATTTTCCCTCTCTTTCTTTCTCTTTCTCTCATCTCCCTCTTTCTCGTTCAAAATCATGGACCTGTGCCTAGGCGCGGTCCTGACTTCCTCCTTTCTTTCCTCTCCCCTCTCCTTGTTCTCTCTCTCTCTCTCTCACCAAGCCATGGGCCCGCGCCTAGGCATAAGCCCAACTTACCTCTTCTCCCTCTCTCTTACCCTTGATTTATCTCTCTTGATTTCTCTCTCTCGCCTTCTCGATCTTACTCTCTCTCACTCTTACCCTCTCTCTCTCAATCTCTCTCCCCCTCTCTCTTCACTTACCCCCCCTTTTTCGTCCAAACCTAGGCGTGAGGTCAGCTTCTTCTTCTTCCTCTCTCTTAATCTTACTCTTCCTCACTCTAATCTCCCTCTCCTTCTCAATCTTACTCTCTCTCTCACTCTCAAATTCTCTCTCGATCTTTCT